CAAGTAACACAAATCTAATCTTCTCCATCATCAACACCATGCGACTGAAGTTAGCTTACACTTTTATTTGTGTTATTCATTTATATACTATTCAGGGTGAGATTAAGATTGCAGACTTTGGATAGTCAGTACACACATTCAACCGAAGAAGGACTATGTGTGGAACTCTTCCACCTGAGATAAGTAAGTGAGACCTTAATCCATTTCCGTGTTTATACTTACTCTCTTCTGCAACTAACTTTTCTGCTATTTGGACAGGAATGATAAATTAAATATTTGCAAATCGTATCAGCTAAAACCCCACCTCAGCAAGCAATCATGAATCGCAGATACAACAATACTTAAATTCTAATGAGATAGACCAAAAAGAACAGTGAGGTGAGAGAATTCGCAGTACTAACTCTTTTTTTTTTTAGTTTCTACGCATATAACAAACAATGGATATATATAAGATTTTTTTATACCAAGAAAGATAGAAAGATACAATTTATAAAAGTGATCATGTGTTTGTGCTTTCATTTAGAGATTTTTGAGGTAATTACAAACTGAGCCAATAACTTAGCTACTATTTTAACTGACACACCTTTCAGCTCTTTTTCACAACAAATGGTGATCATGCTTTAGAAGCTCAAGTGATTACATGTGATAGAGTTGGATCGAAAGTGTTGATTCCTAAGATTATCATTTCTACATGAGATCTAAAATTGCCTTTTAAAATGAGAAGAAGACAGTTTCCATTAGCCGTAGCTTTTTCTATGACCATAAACAAGAGCCAAGGCCAATCAGTAAAAGAAGTTGGTATTTTTCTTCCCCGGCTAGTGTTTTCTCATGATAAGCTTTACGTGATACTATCTAGAGTTACTTCAAAAAAAGATTGAAAATACTAATTGTAGATAAAAAAAGTCAAGCCGCAGAAGCAGCCGATAAATGTGGTTTTCAAAGAGATATTTCAGAATTTATAATTCTGATAACAAATATATTAGATTATGTGTTTTGTTTCTTTGCTTTTGTATTTTAAGTAATGTTCACTCATATCTGTTTTCATTCAATCCTTCTATATTAAATAATGTAGTAGTGTTTTTTAAATTTCAGTCTAACTAATTCAACTATTATTGAAACAAATAATGACTACAAAACTGACCTCCTATTTTAGGATTTTGAGGTTCCCGTGCTCACCTTCACGATTGTATCTTTCTCCAAACATGTAGGATCATCTCAAAGTCATTATTGTCTATCATTCTGGAACATCATGTTTCAAAACGCAAGTAATATGTCATTAGAATTTATATTTCATCTAATTAAACACTAACTTTATTTTAGGATATTTGAAGATCTTCAGGATCATGTTATGAAATTGTGTAAGAAAACTGAACATATACTTATTAGTGAATTAGTAAACAGGATAATGAGTTTTTCTATTACTAAAAAGCAAACATAAATTGGAAGAGACATATCTTCTTCATTTCGTAGTTGTAGAATATGTAATCTGCAAATTTTCTTCTTCCTGAAAATACTACAAAATTTAAGGAAGCAGTTAGACTCAAAGACAATTGAATAATAAATCATACATTTAAAAAAATATTGAACTTTACTTAGCTCGAAATTTCGATTAAGATCAATCTTTGTCTTCATCGAAAGAATAATTGATAGATTACGTGAGAAACCCGATTGGGGTTCCCAGATTCAGTAGATCGATATAAGTAAACTGAAAAACTTAAATTGTAGGCAATCTTGAATCCGAGATTTCATCTTCCATAACTGCCATAGGAAGACTATGAAAGGATAATCGGTGGCTAAGCTTTATTAAAATTTTGATAAAATTGAAGAAATTTTTGAATAAAGGAGATCAGAAGTTTCTAGAAATGACGATCTGAAATTTTCGTTCATTTGGGGGTGAAGAAAAATGGATCGAGCTTTCTGGTAGAAGAACATGATACAATATCAGAAATCAGTAAATCAAGAGTCTTCAATATGTGAATTATTATTAGAATCTGTTCTTCATAATTATCAAAGTCAAAAGATTCTCATTCAAGTCCAAAGCAAGATTGGTGGCAAGAAGACCATTATTTGATTTAGCTTATTTTTCTCTTTTTGTTTAAGTGTAAATAATTTAAATTAAATATAATTTATTGTAAAGATTCTTTGTAAAAGCTATAAAAACTTATTGTTCTCATTGTAAAAAGATATATAAATTTTTGAAAAATGAAAGAGAATTATCTCTAAAAATCTTAGGCTTTGTTACTTTGTTCATTAGAGATTGTGTGGAATCACTTCTCTTATGTTATAGCGAGTTCTTGAGTGTTTTGTGGAATCAGACATTTGAGTTTTCATGTTGTTTCTTACTGTCCATGCGAGGATGAGCCCTTGGAAGTTAGAAGCATAATTTGTTGCATGTGGAATCAGTCAACCCATCTATCCATTCCATCCACCAATCCTTCTTGAAAGAGACTTGAGTCCAGCAGGATTGATCCCATAACCATCCACTTCGATAATCTCTTGAGCAAGTAGAAAGAGACTTCAGTCCAGCTACTTGCTTCCACCCCTTCACCCAACCATTTATAAGATCATCTAATTTATCTTATATCATTTGGTATCAGAGCTAAAAGCTGATATCCTCTATCTTTTTTTTTTATTTCTGTTTTGTTTTTGTTTCATGCTTTACAAGATTTCATTAAAAAGAAAAAAAATGTTTTGGTTGTTTTTATTCTTTAAATTTTATAAAACTAGAAAAAAAAATCAGAAAAAATATTTTTATGTTTTTGTTCTTTGATTTATGCTTTTTTATCAAAAACAAAACATAAAACCCATAAAAAAAATTCAATTGAAGTTTGTTTCTTTCATTAAATAAAAACAAAAAAAACTATGTTTCTATTTATGTTTTTGTTTATTCTGATTTTTATTGTTTAAAAAAAATTATAAATGAAAAAAAAAATTATTTATTTTATAAGTAATATTTGCTAAAAAGTTTATAAAAAAAATCAGTTTTGAGGACAAAACCATTTGAAGAGGGAGAGAATGATACAATATCAAAAATCAGTAAATCAAGGGTCTTCAATATGTGAATTATTATTAGAATCTGTTCTTCATAATTATCAAAGTCAAAAGATTCTCATTCAAGTCCAAAGCAAGATTGGTGGCAAAAAGACCATTATTTGATTTAGCTTATTTTTCTTCTTTTGTTTAAATGTAAATAATTTAAATTAAATGTAATTTATTGTAAAGATTCTTTGTAAAAGCTATAAAAGCTTATTGTTCTCATTATAAAAAGATATAGAAATTTTTGGAAAATGAAAGAGAATTCTCTCTAAAAAGCTTAGGCTTTGTTACTTTGTTCATTAGAGATTGTGTGGAATCACTTCTCTTATGTTCTTGCGAGTTCTTGAGTGTTTTGTAGAATCAGACATTTGAGTTTTCATGTTGTTTTTTACTGTCCATGCGAGGATGAGCCCTTGAAAGTTAGAAGCATAATTTGTTGCCTGTGGAATCAGTCAACCCATCTATCCATTCCATCCACCGATCCTTCCTGAAAGAGACTTGAGTCCAGCAGGATTGATCCCATAACCATCCACTTCGATCATCTCTTGAGCAAGTCGAAAAAGACTTCAGTCCAGCTGCTTGCTTCCACCCTTTCACCCAATCATTTATAAGATCATCTCATTGATCTTATATCAGAACAGTTGACAAACTATATCGGCTTTGCTTTTTTCTTTCTTTTTCATCTGGAAATTTCATTCATAGAGAAATACAACTGAGGGATGCAGGGTGAAATACAAAGCCAGCAAAGGACACAGCCTTTCCGGTAACCAAATCCCAGACAACGGGATGCAGAGACTAATACAAAAAGATTAGCATAGCCCCTGCGCAAGGATGACACGCACAAATTCTAAATGTACTTTCTTTCTGAACAAAAAAGTACTTTCTTTAAAATGTAAATTTAAGTATTATTACATATCAGATACAATATCTTTAATAATAATACATACCATTCATCTATTTGTTAAAATTCTAAATGTTTTTGTTGTTTTAACAGAAATGTTTTTTATTTAACATTGTTTTGTAATAGTAAAAAATAATGAAAACAACTTTAAAAACTATATTGTTATAATTTAATTGGTTAAAAGAACTAATTTATTTACTTAAGATAAAAGTTTATCAAATAAATTTTCATTTCAGTATTAGATTTAGTTAGATATTAATATATTACACAAATATTTGAAATAACCAATAATTTATAAATCTTTAAAATTTGAAAGTACATTGTTTGATTTATAAATCAATCCAAGTTTAAATCAGTTGATGAAAAAGTTCATTATAAATCGATTCATATCTAAAACATTATTTATAATTTATTAATAATTATACAAAATACGTGTTGCACAAACAAAACTTAAATATATATCACAAATAGATGATTTATTGTTCTAATTTCAATCAATCATACTAGTTAATAGAATAAACTTAATTCAGTACCATGTTAATAATACAATTAAAATAATTTGAAATAAATATGAAATTTAGAATTCTAAAACTACTTAACCCCCGCATGTTATATCTTTTATGACACTAAGTATTTAAATACAAATCTAATAAATTTAATATATAATCTCAAAATATTATAAAATTATATAACTCTGTGTGTAGAACAGGCTAAATCATAGTAAAAATACAAAAAAAAACTCCGATTATTCCCCAATTTATTTCTAATTTTATGAAAAAATTGTTAGGTCCGGACTGAACATTCAATTCATGTTTAGCACGTTTCCGAATATGTGCATTAAAAACATAACTATCCACTAACTCCAAAAACTTGAGTCCATTTTGGATAGCAATATTTCCTTTTACTAAGAGAGCTTATTAATGCTAACAATATCGATAATTCAGAATGGATAGTTTAACTCAATTTATAATCGGGTTTGTCCTTAAAGAAATTTTTTTTTATTATAGTAAAAGAAAAACATAAACATATTTGATCAACGAGAACTATGAATCAAATATCTACTTTATTCACAACAACAGCGATATGTTGAAATTTCAGGAGGAAGTCTTTCAGATAGAACACAAGCACCGTATCTGTAAGACAGTCCTATACAATGCTTATAACATTGTGGAGTTAGGAATTTTCCGATACACTCTTGTACACAGTCTTGAGTTAAAGCTTGCACTCGAATCCCTGTTTCAATTGCCAATCCTTAAAAATAAATATAAAATATTGAATAAAGATACAAAATTGTAAATATATCAATGGAAAATATATTCTTAAATAAAGAAAAACATATACCTGAGAAAATATCATCAGAAATAGCCGCCACAACAATAAGAGTAAATATAATCATGAATTTGAAGGAACCCATTTTCAGTAATCTTTCTAATACTTAATTTTTTTTAACAAACTATAATTTTTTTAACAAACTAAGTAAAATGTATATTTCAATGATCTAGTTTGATGATAAAAATTATCTATTTATAATTACATGAAATGGTCACACTCGTTAATTTATGAGTATTTCCAAGTGTTGACCCTGTCAAATTTTTCTTTCTTATTAGTTATGTTAATAATAAATGTGGATTTTTGACCAAAAAAGTAAATCTTTTGCCAAAAAAGAAAACCAAACGATAAATCTTTTGACCACAAAACAAAAGTTTCTCATTTAAGAAAGGAATTTAGTGATAATAGTAGGGAAATACCATAAAAATACCTCGATATAATTTTTAATAGGTAATAATCTGTACTTTATGCAGAATGAAATAATTTTTACTTATATAAATATAATATAATTTGAAATTAGATAATATAATATAATTAAATTTATTGAAGTTTTATATAATATTATATTATAATATTGATAATATAAACTGAAGTCACTTGGTTTTTCTGTATTTCTATTGGATTTTCTTCTATCGAAAACACATAAAAACAAAACTTCAGTTTTTTTTCTCTTCTCTTCACGATTCTTTTTCATCCAACAAAAGAAACGAAAACCAAATCAACTAAAAGGTTATTTTACTTTTACGAGCTGATTGCGGTAAAATTAGTTCCAATTCTTTAAGTTTTCTTTGTGGCCAATCGAGCAGAAAATATTACATTGAATAGTAAATTTTTTTAGAACCATCTCTGATATGCTGCCACGTACCACCTTATAAATTGACACATCTCCATTTAGCACATTTCATATATTCTGATTCAACAAAGTTGAACACTAGAGTATCAATAAAAAATATTAACACCCATTTCTGCTTTTCAGATTCACCCTCAATGATCTGAATATTGTATTCTATTTTATTTGAAATTATGTACTATACTATTTTATTATTTAAAGGATAAAAATGGTAAAAAACAGTGGTTTTGGTTACTTGCTTTATTATATGTTTTACATAACTATATTTCTAATATCAAGTTCAATATGGGTATACAGCAAATTAACCCATATATGAATGATGCAAGTGGAACTTGTGTAATGTTTCACAAACTGTTTCTCAGAAGAAAAAAAAATCCAGTGTGGCATTGTCTCTGACATCTTCTGTAAGTTTCATTTCTCAAAGAACAACTACATTTATACTTATATAAACCGATTGGTAAAAACTGTGATTGTAGGCTGTGACTGTGGGTTTTTGGCTGTAGAGTTTTTGACTATAAAAACAATGATTGTTACCTTAAATATTTTTAAAAGTCTGATTGGTAAAAAAAACTGTAGAGTTCTAAAAAATCGATATATTAATTTTATATAAAATATTTGAAATCAATAAATCGAATTTGTTTTTATAAACTAATATTAGCTCAATCCTAAGAGCACCTGCATTGCACGTTTCTCACGTAGTCTCTTAACAATAATAAAATAATAATAAATAATAAATTATAATATTTTATTAAGAGAGTCTCTCAAAAAAGTGAGAGATCCTTCCCAAAGTCTATCATTTGATAATGCATTTAAACATTAAGATTTTATAATAATATATAAACAAAAAAATGTATATATATCTTACCACAAAAATGTGTTCTATACTTATACACTGTGATAAATATTTAACCCTTCACACTATTTATATCTCTATTCAACTAGTTTCTATTTTTATATTACTTATTTCCACTGAAATTAACAATATGAATTTACCATAAATTTCACCAAATTTAAATCGAATAATTTCTCAATCTTTCATAAATTCTGGAAAATTCTGATTCACTTTGACAACACCGATGTGCAGCTCACTCCTGATTTCTTCCCTCTGCTGCTACTAATGCCCATCCACCGTTTGTCTCCACAGCGAGTTTTATTTTCAGAATCACCAGCGAGGTATCAAAAGATCAAACTTTCCTCTCTGGCGCTCTCTCCGACCAGCACATCCTTGCGACGCCTCCAGACTCTTGATCCATTGTGGCATTTTCTGAGAGTAATCTTGATGATAGATCTCGTTCCAAATCGTTTGTTTGCTTTCTCATTCGCTCACGGGAGTCTGGGCTTAGCCCAACTGATCTCAGCCTAAACCTTACAAGTTCTATTGCAAAATCCATCGGACAAACAACCGATTTTATAATTGACTCCTTTCTTCATCTACGGGAGTTAGAGCATCAGCATAAGAGAGCTGGGAAAGAAACTCTTAAAAATTTTATATTATTAAAAAAATTGTTTTTTTTCAAAAAAAAATCGATTTTCCAAAAAAAAAAATGTTCGACGAATCACGTCTCGCCACATCACTCAAAAGCCGCTTTTACAGTCTTGGCACAAAGAGTCGACTCTACGCTTCAGTCTCGCCACATCATTATTTTTTCTTTTTTTTTTTCTTTAGAACTTCCCAAAAGCTCTACATTAATCATGCTCTTAGAGATAGCCGAGGAATATTTCTCTGGTAACCATCCTCCGTTTAGTTTCGATCATTAACGGTGCTCTAAGTCTGTTATCAAGCCCCTACCTTTGGGCGTATTAACGCCGGTTTAAACATCAGTGTACTTCTCGACTATTTGATTCTCTTTAGAGCAACTGATTTTGGGTTGTCGGTGAAGTCTTTCCATGAGATTCTTCATGCTGCTGAGCAAGTCTGCCCCTTAATGTTTATATCCTTTGTTTTATTGTACTGTTTAATTGTCTTGAGTATGGCTCCAATTGTATCCATCTAAACCATTTCGGTTTTTTGCTTTTAATATAATTAATTAGTTGTCCAAAATCTCTAATAATATAATGCATATGATATATATTATATTTAAATTTTATGTGGTAATAAAAGTGAGTTGGGTTTGTACATTGTTGTATTGTTCTTGCTGTTTATAGATTTCTGTAGAATCTATATTGCAGTTTTTGTTTTTTTTGTTTTTTTGTGGATTGTATTTTTTGTTTAGTGTAGTTACATTTATTATTTTCTTTTACTTGACCAGGTTTTATTTTTTCGAAATGTAGAAGAAAAAAAGAGAAAAAACAAGACATTACCTTACTATATTATATAAATTTTGTTTGAGTGTTTGATTTTCTTCTCTGTTTGTTGGATGAAAGGAAAAAAATTAAGTAGAGGTTATTGGTTCTTGTATTTTGGTGGATTTATAAATCTTCTTTGGATTTGATAAATTTATTGATTTCAAAATCTGCAAAATGGAAAAAAATCAAATCCACTCAAATACCAAGGTTAGACCTTGTATTTGGGTCTTTGTATTTTAGTCATGAAAATCCTTCCAAATCTATTCAAATTCAATTAAAACTCAAATCCTTATAATACTTAGATTCTAAAATGATAGAACCAATAACACTGTGTTTCATTATGAATTTTAAAATCATAGAACCAATAACACTGTATTTCAATATAAATTTTAAAATACAAGAACCAATAACACTGAATTTGGTTTGGATTCTCAAATCAATTAAAATACAAGAACCAATAACACCTCCTAAAATTTGTTTTTGTGTTTGTTTGTTAAAAGAAAATTCAATAGAAATAATTTCAAAAAAGTGACACATGTCAGTTTCTAAGATGCCACGTGGCAGAATATCGGGGCTGCTTTTGAAAAAAAATCCTTACTTTATTAGAATAGGTAGATTGTTCCTGCTATTTATAGATTTTTGTAGAATCTATATTGCAGTTTTATCTTTTTTTGAATTGTATTTAATTATTTTTATTATTATTATTTGGTGTAGTTAAATTTCTTATTGTCTTTTTCTTGACCAGTTTATCAGAATATCACTTGGCAGAATATCAGAGCTGCTTCTAAAAAAAAACCTTCCTTTATTAGATTTGATAAATCATTCCTCCTATTTATAAATTTTTATAGAATCTATATTTCAGTTTTTGTTTTTATTTTTATGTGGATTGTATTTAGTTATCTTTATTATTTTTATTTAGTGTAGTTAAATTTCTTATTTTCTTTTTTTATACCAGTTTTTCTTTTAAATGTAAACATGTAGAATGAAAGTATGAGACATGTGAAATTGTAAAGTTTATTCAAAACAAATATTACTATACTATATATAATATATTTTTTATTTATATATTATTATAAAATCTCTATTGAAATTTTTATTATAATGTTATTTATATATTATTTTAAAATATATATTGAAGTTTTTATTCTTTTTAGACTATAATTAATTGTCATAATTAATTTTTTTTAGTGTAGCTAAAATTTTCCTATGTGTTTATAGTTTTTTTTTTAATATAGATAACACATGTTAGTGTTAGGAGTGCCATATGATAGCATTTTAAAGCTAACTCTAAAAAAAAAGCTTACTATATTAGAATAGAATTATTATAAAATCATAGATTGTTCCTGTTATTTATAGATTTTTGTACAATCTATATTGCAGTTCTGATTTTTATTTTTTGGATTGTATTTAATGGTTTTTATTATTTTTATTTGGCGTAGTTAAATTTCTTATTGTCTTTTTTCTTGACCAGTTTATCAGAATATCACTTGGCAGAATATCACTTGGCAGAATATCAGAACTGCTTCTAAAAAAAAGCCCTTACTTAATTAGATTTGATAGATTATTCCTCCTATTTATAGATTTTTATAGAATCTATATTGCAGTTTTTGTTTTTATTTTTATGTATATTACATTTAGTTATCTTTATTATTTTTATTTAGTGTAGTTAGATTTCTTATTTATTTTTTTACCTATTTTTTTATAAATGTAAATATGTAAAATGAAAGTATGAGACATGTGAAATTGTAAAGTTTATTCAAAACAAATATTACTATATTAAGATATATATATATATATTTATATACTATTATAAAATCTCTATTGCAGTTTTTTTTAATGTTATTTACATATTATTTTAAATTATATATTGCAATTTTTATTCTTTTTAGATTGTACTTAATTGTCTTAATTATTTTTCTTTAGTGTAGTTGAATTTTTTCTTTGTGTTTATAGTTTTTTTTTTTGAAATATAGATGACACATGTTAGTGTTAGGAGTGCCACATGACAGCATTTTAAAGCTAACTCTAAAAAAAAACACACTATATTAGAA